AAAAAAAACTTATGGAGTATTTTCTGCTTATGGAGGATTGCAGTGAAAAGATGTAAGGTTATTCTTATTTTATGCTAATGTAATCATGGAAATCTATGAGTAAATCAGAGTGATTAATAGTGTTAAAGATGAATAAATATAATTAAAGTACTGAAGTACTTAAAATTATTGCAAAATAATTGTCCTAGTGGATAATAAAATAATTTTATATAAGCAAATCAGTGGGGAAAGTGGCTGAAAAGGAAAAACTAATAAGACATTTTGCCATTTGCTTTATTGACTAGTTGCTATTCTTTTGTTTTCCCCAAGTATTGTCAAAATTCCTTAGTGATCCCTGGAAGTAAACCCTGGAAGTAAACCCTGGCTATCTAATCCATAGTTCAATTTTTTTTTCTCAATTTACCATATATTCTGGTTTTCCCTTCCAGTCAGTTCTACTTACTGTTGCTGAGCCTTGGCTGAAAAATTTGCATCTGCATTCTGCACAATTCTCTCTGAACATGTTTACTGTTATCCTGGGGGATACACAACAAACACTTTGTAATATGATATCCGATAACAAAATTGGAATTATTTTCTGTATCTTCAGTACTCAGAAGAGGTTATATTTCCACAATTGCACACTGTAACGTCATCATTTGTGTAGCATCTCTTCTATGTAAATGTATAAAAAATATGGTATATTTTAAGTAAAACAAATGAACAAATGAACAAAAATCCCAGAGAGCCAACACAAGGGCCAATGTGGGTTCTTACATGCAATGTTTTCCTTCCAAACTAACACCTGCTCTTTGTTTGTACCTTCCAGAGAAGAGAGTGAGAGTGTGCTGACACTGAAAGGCTTAACCCCCACCGGCATGCTCCCCAGCGGAGTGCTTTCTGGAGGGAAGCAAACTCTGCAAAGCGGTAAGCAGGCCAGTGGTATGACCTTGACCCTGGAGCATCACAGCCAGCTGAGCCACCAGAGCCCTGATTTACCCATTCATTCAAGCTCTGTCTTGGTCTTCAGTTCTTCTTGGCTGGAAGAAGGGCTGAAACCCCCACATCAGTTTGGTCAGTCATGTCCATGATAATAGCACCCCCACTTACTGCAGTACAACCCTTACACCCATTCCCTCATCAACATAGGAATCTACATTTGCAGGCTGAGCTATATGCAGACTCATTCAGCTTGCAGACTCGAACAACAGGTTTGACTACCAAGAGCCAATCAATTGCTGAAATAAGTTTTTAATTACATATTTTAAATAGATATCTGGTTATCTTTTTGATTGATGAAATAAACATATGCACACCCAAATACACATCCATAACTAGATTTTATTGAACAATCTAAGAATATATAAAGGTTGATTTCACTATCCACTTAAATAGATATTAGAAGTCTTATGTGTCCTTTGGTTTATCTTTCCAAAATAAAAAGAAGACACTAATTTTATTTTTGAAAGAAATTACAGTATTTCCTTTAAGAGAGTCTATATGAAAACCACAGTTCTTTAGACCAGTGTTGTACCATAGAAATTTTGTGATGATCGAAATTTCTTCATCTGTGCAAAAGTCACTGGTAGCTTATAACTGTCAAGCACTTGACATACAGCTAATACAACTGAAAAACTTATTTTTAAATTTTATCTAATTTTCATTAAATTTAATTTAAATAGCTACATATGGCTAGTGGCAACCATGTTAGACAGCATGGTGCTACACACTCTTTTTAATGTCTGGTTATCAATTTTAATTATTATCATTACTTAGAATAAAATTTTAAAATGTGGAAATTTTGGTATTAGATTTGACTTCCACAGAAAAAAATTAAAAGAAAAATACACTATAACATTTTTAAATAATTTCAGCCTCATATTTTCCTGTGTCTTTCCCTGAATCTTTCTCATATTTTCTTTTCCATCCCTGTCCTTCATCTTAGAAGATTCAGGTATTTTTACAGTTACATTATTTAGACAATGCTACATGAAGGCTAATGATCAACTTCATGAATACGGTATTGCTAAATGATCACATCCTAGCAGCATCACAGTAATTCTCTTTATTATCAGATGAATTTATTCCAAAATCACTCCGAATTTCCACAGAAATTCAAAGAATTTTAAATTAGGATAAGACAATACAAAGTACTAAAGTAAATTCTCTCTTAAATTTATAGCTGGACATTATTTATTTTAATAGATTTATACAAACACAAAAATTTTTCCACCAAAGCTCACTAAAACGTTAGCATAGATAAATCAGATGTGCAAAAAATGCACTTCTACCTAATTGATTGAAATCTACAGTTTCTGGTAAGCACATTTTAAGACACAGCAAGTGTATTATCAGAAACTCGGGGCCTCATTTGCTTAGAAGGATGCATTTAATAGCGGGCAGTACATATTTCTAATATGTCAGTGCTGGTGTGGTTCCAGATTTTTGCTTTACTTTTGAAACTTAAGTTACTTAAGTTGTTATAATTCTTTGTTTCTTTTCTAGATTTCCACCTGCATTTTTAACTTCAGTCATTGCATTTTCTTTTCCTTTATTTTAAAACCATTGGTTTGTGTTATCCTGTGTTAAACACACACACACACACACACACACACACACACACACACACACACACTCCAGACAGGCAAAAGACATGTGGATTGGAAACTTGTTTGTCCCCAGATTTGGAAAACTTAATATGTACTGTAAACCACATACATTAATAAAACTTGAAAACCCATCATCTGACACCCTTCTGCTTGTCTCAAAGGGGTCTTTCTCAGTGCTTTGGTCTTCAGCTCTTCTCCTTGGTGGCAATCATCCTCTATTTTTGCCATAAGGAATCTAGAATGTACCAGAAGGAAGTTAGAGTGCAGATTTGGCAGTTGCTCCACTTGTAAAATCTTAAAATATAAGAAAAATGCAAATTAAAGTTAAGGGGTAAAATTTTAATATTAAACATTTAAGGGTTACGGAGACATTTTGCATTTTAGCATTTAATTAGGGAAATACCAACTAGCCTTAATAACTCGGAAGGACCCATATCCCTGTGAAAATATAGACCCAGACCTTATCATAAAAATTGCTCATAAAGCAACGGACTATAAAAGTTCTGACTCTGAAATATGCTGTTTCAGTGTATTTTTAAGACGCCTCCTAGATGAGGTTTCAATATGTAGGCTGCCTCTTCTTTCAAATGCAGATAGAAAGAATTCTTGCTGCTGCTGCCATGTTACCACTTGGGTTTTTAACACTTGGAGAGTTTCATTTCCAAAACTGATATTCCCATATGGAAAAGAAAACTGATTTTAAATTGTTCTTCCTGGCAAAAGAAGTCCAGACAATCATTTCTTCCTTTCTCCATTCTCCCTCACCCTCTTGCCAATCCCTACCCCCAAATGTTTATATTTAAAGAATCACATGTACTTGAACATGAACACATTGATTTTATCTTTCTTTAAATTTGCATCCCCTGTCTTTGCATGGCAGTAGGAAATAAATAGTACCATTTAATATTAAATAGTATGATTTGTCTCACTGATATCATGGCTCTGCTTCAAGTTCTACCATTTTGTCTGGTCTTTTTAAGTAGTAAATCAATCACCAAATCCAGAAAAGATTTTAAAGTGTTCTGTGAGACAGAAGCACATTTTAGATGACATAATCCCTTATGAATTCAATCCAAGTAAAATAAAACTTTTCTAAGTCTTTTCATAAAGGGTTAAATTTTTTTGTCATTTAATTACTGAGCAAAAACCAAGCAGTTCACTCAGATAGATGTAGCCAAATCTTAAACTTAAACTTATCATTTTTTGGTGGTGTTTTTTTTTTTCCTTTCTTTTTAGCATTTCTGTTTTGTTGTCTGTGCCAGAATCCAGCACTTACAGGATCATTAGTTCTCTTAGCTCCTTTGATCGTCACTGATTTGTTCTTAGAGTTAAAAAAAAAAAAATCCTCTGCTCATTTTTCTCATTCATTTTGCACCCCCTTTCTTCTCTTCAGCTACTGTTGAGGCTATTGAGGCTGATGAAGGTAAATTGGCCAGTCCCCTTTCTGTTGTACCTGCAACAGATAAGGGCTCTGCTGGGTGTATTCATTTTTTTTTTTTTTTTTTTTTGCTGTAGCTTGTACAGAGTGTGTGGGTGTTGGGCTAACAGTTGTGGCTCAGTATTAACCAAAATGTTCTTGCTTTAAAGGGGAAAATGTCCTTCTATGGTTTGTTTGTTTGTTTTTTCCCTTAAAGCTATGTTTGACTTCTGTATACAATGAACCTAGTATAATCACAGAAAACAAAAGGAATTTATATATTTTGAATGATGTGGGGTGGGGGTTATGGCAGCTGTTTTGACAAATGACACATAAACAGTATTCTTGGAGCTGAACCATGTCCCTCCCTCAAATCACTTTCAGGCAGCACTGAAAAGGAAGAGTAAAGATAGTTTATTAATTTCCAGTCTTTCAGAAGTTTGTAGCCCAAAACAGTTCATTTGAATAGTGCTTTGTTATAGTTCAGCGTTACTCCGTGTCTCTAAAATTATTCCAAGACGAGACAGATGTGTATGAGATAAAAGGTTTGTTTAGCCTTATCAACTTTAACCTACTGAGACTTATAGGACAATTAACAGTAGTAAAATATTATAAGGTGTCTAAATGCACTTAGACACCTGTGGAAGTGGCCGATTATAAGAATAGTGAGTATCAAGCGATTGCTCCGTTAATTAACTTTCACTGAGTGTCTGCTTTGTGCCAGGCACCGTGCTAGGAGCTGGAGGGGAAATCCAGAATGTACCATCTCTAACTGTCCTAACTCTGCTCAAGGACAGTAGAGTTGACCCCTATGTAACTGTTTTGAGCAAATTTTTTTAAGTCTCTGGTTATGAGAGAACTGCATATCAAAATAGATTTTAATATTATCTATGCCATATCTTCTGACAATTTGATAAAGTATAATTTGAAGTTCCCCTTTAAAACAAAATTCTTCAGTTGTATTTTGTTCTTGCAAGATAACTTCTTATTTTTCCCAAAATTGTCTGCATATGGTCCTTTTGATATGATGTAAAAGCGTGCCACTTTAGACTTACAATTTGTACGTGATTTGGATATGGTAGGGGAAAATGACAGCACTGTAAGAGAAAATACAACTGCTTCCTAAATAGCAGTGAACAAACTGCTATTTATGTGGGAATTCTCTATTCCTCTTGGCAAATTCTAATCTGCAGTGTGCATTCTTGTTGATAGTTTGGCTGTTTTCTGTGGTTTCTGTGACTCTGTGTTGTGTTAAGTATACTACCAATGTAAATTGCTAATACCCATTGTCTGACCAGCAACTACAGCAGAGCACATTCCTCCATCCAGCATAGACAAAAATGATTAGAATGGAGCCCCATCCCAAAAACATCCATTGTTCTAGCTAGATTTTTACTTCTACGCTCCCTCTTTATTGGCTTTTACAACCTAGAGATTCCACTTTTGCCGTGTCAATTAATAAAATCGCTTCATAAATTATAGCAACAAATGTTTTATACTCATTCACGATGATGAAATGATATTTAAAGTAGTTTAGAAAAAGAGTAGGGTACCACTTTGTGATGTTATATTGTTCTTCAAAATAATTGAGTTAGTTTTCAGGGTGGGTGCTCATTAAACAGCTCTATTATTTCACAATTTATTACCGAATTACAGAAAAATTAAGAAGCTTTGCTTTGGGCCTTGGTCTCTCCCCATTACCCCATCTACTTCCTCTCACGGTTGACTAATCACCATTATGCTAACCTTTAAAATACAGAGAAGGAATAATCTATTTCTCATCGTTATTGTAATGAGCTTTGTATATCTTTCTTTTAAGAATCCCATCCATACTGATGAAAGGCACTCATGTAGGAGTGGCTGGCAGAGTTTGAGCTGGAAACTGCTTTCCGTTTTTTCCTAAATAAGGTGGGGAGGATAAAGGTACTCTGAAATTGTCCTTAATCCACAATGGAGATGCAGCCTCATTCAGCACTGGTGATTGGCCCTTAAGTACCTGTCTTGCACTTCACAGGGAGTAAAGCAAACTGATGTCATTGGTTCCACATTTGGGTATTTTATTTACAGCTCACTGGTTGATGCATCCTTGGAAGAAAATCATTAAGTTCCTTATACAAATTCCTACCTATATCTGTAGTGTACTGAGGGTTACTAGAAAACAACTCAAATATCACTGTGCCCACTTTGAGAATTCTGTGTTTTAATTGCTAATAGGATCTAAACCAGTCCAATTCATTTTTGCTAAAAAGTGTAAAAAAGAGGGTTTCCCCCCTTTTCTTCTTTAATCACCACTTATGTCTACATTGATCTACTAAGAAAGAGCTTTGCTTTGGACACCAGATGAACATCAGTTTGACCTGTTCACTGATGAAGGGCAGACAAAGCCTCTCTACATAGTGACCTGATATGGATTTTTCTGAGTTTATCTTAACTTGTCACCCACTCTATATGCTTCCAAAGTTGAGTGCAAAAATAAGAGTTTATAATTTCTTCATTTTTTTCAACGACACCATTGAGTTGTTTGCTTTGTGGGATTCTGAGATGGCATGGACATACCCAAGTCGATTTCTTTTCTGGCTCCTTTTACAGTCTGCTATAAGTCCATTGTTGGACTTTGAGGCATAGAAGACACAGTGATTCTGTTGAATTTGCCATGGAGAGCACATGGGAGAGTCACAGGGGGGACATGTCTGTCTAGATCCGGGCCCTGTGGGTAACCATGCTAAGGATGTGGCCAATTGATGCTGGTTCCAGAGGCCTGTCCCTGGAAGCCACTTTCCTCTTTACATATCCACTTTGGGTTTCTTTGATCTAAACTTTCATGAAGACAAGAGAAATGCATATATCTTAATAACTTCAAGAGGACATTTTGGTTGGCAAGAGACATTGGCTGTTTTCAAACCTTTGGTTATCTCCAAGTATGGTAAGGAGTCTGTTGTGTTTGTGTTCAGGTCCCGTCACGTTGTTCTCCACTAAAGGATTCCCACTCACCGCGAAGTCTCTAACATCACCTGATGCGCCTCCTGTGCCCTTCTTCTGTCTCTGGCTAACCCTGTTTCTCTTTTTTTTAATGATTTTCTGTTTAGCTATCAAAGGATTTTCGCCACAACATAAGATCACTAGCTTCGAGGAGGCCAAGGGCTTAGACCGAATTAACGAGAGGATGCCGCCTCGCAGAGATGCCATGCCCTCTGATGCCAACCTTAACTCCATCAACAAAGCTCTCGCCTCAGAGACTAACGGCACGGACAGCAATGGCAGTAATAGCAGCAATATTCAGTGACCACTTCCTGTTCACAATTTTTTTTTTTTTTGAGCTGCAGGGCATGAGGGAGATTGCTGCCTATCAGCAGTTGGATGTTCTTGCCTCTGATGGTAGCTTGTTTGCTCTGGGGGCCAGGAATTGGATTCAGTTTACACTATCATTAAAAAGAGGGAGAGAGAGAAACTATATTTTGGTGAGGGTGGTGATTAAACACCTCTTTTGGATATGCCTTTTAAAAATGCTTATAGGGAAAAAATTTTCAAAGGAAGCTAATGCTAGTATATACTGCAATGTTAGGGGAATGAACATGTTTTCCTACTTCATTGGGGACTTATAGATAGGTAAATGAACGGCCTTTTATTCTGTTACTGGACATGAAAATTTTGTCTAATTTCTTACTCTATTGTACGTTTACAGTCGCAGAACTAAAAATGGATGACATCAAACATTTTTAACAAAAATGATGTACAAACTAAATAAGGACTATTTATTGATAATGTTTTGCTACTCTTGTCACAATGGCTATCAACTGAATTAGGCAGTCTTAGAAAAAAAAAAAAAAAAAAAAAAAAAAAAAAGAATGTTGCAAATTTGTTAAAATGCCAAAAAGGACAGTTTAATTTTGTACAGATTATGCTTACCTCAGGTTTCTTTAGTGTGCTTGAATGCCCTTCTTTCCATATAACACTTATCTTATTAATTTGGCAATGAATATCTTTTCTTTAAGTTTAAAAAAAAACTGGAATAATTACACCTATCTTTTTTGCTGTTTATATTAGGGGTTTTGTTGATAAATCAAGTCTTGGTTGTGGCTTGCTGAATTAAATATTTATGAGTGGTGCATTTTTAAGTAATAGTGAACAAGACACCATATTAAGTACAGTGATAAAGCATCTATATTCTGTAAAAAAAAAAAAATCTGCCTATGCATGTTTTTTAAGAAAAAAAAAAATGGCTGTATCGGCCTGTATGGGACTGTAATGCGCTTAGTGGTCTGATATATACTGGAAATGTATGTATACTGGCGTACTTTATATTCTCTAAAATGCTTAATGCCTTTGAAATTTTGTAATCAAAAAGCTTTGAAAAAATCTAAAGGGGAGAGTATTCTTAAAAGTTTTTAACATAAGCTTGTCAGTGCACATATAGATGGTTAGCATGTTTAGCAAACCTTGTGAAATTTAAATAAGTTTGTAGTTACATGTGAAACTCTAATGCATGGTAACTGTTAACGTCATAACGGTTTAGTTATTTCGTTCCGTTCTGTCATGTGCCACAAAAATATGTACTTTTTTCACTTTTTTTCCCCTTTGTATATCAGTTACGGGTTACAACTGGTTCATTCTGAAAACAACAACAATAACAACAACAAAAGTCCATTCATATTTTTTAACAATTGTATAAGTGCCCAAGTAATTCACTACAGCCTAAAGCCTGGCCTTTGTAATTTGACTTCTGAAATGTTGGCAATCAAAGCATGCACTTGTAACAATGAAAAAGAAAAAGCATTTTATATTACTACTCAATAAAATGTGCATGAACTTAAAGAACTCTCACCCTTTGACTGAGTCTGCTGAAGGGATTTATGTGCACAGCCACCAGGGCGTCTTCCAGGTGCTGGGCCACCACCAACTGGGCGCAGAGTTACCTGAATAGGCTGCTTTCTAAGGGCCTCGTGACCTTGAGGTGTGGTGCCTACTTCTGCTGTAAGAATCTTGGTGGATTTGTGTCTCAAATCAGATGAGAGAAGTCTGTTTAACAAGCAAATGCCACCTTCTGGCTCTCTCGAATGTGGGAACCAGTCAAGAAGCCAGAGTATTCCTTTTTATTGAAAAAAAAAAAATACATCTATTTGTTATCAGGTTGTTTCAGTTGTATCGGCTGCCCTGTCTCCTAAAGCAGAAGGAACTAGGCTACTAAGTGCATTTTCATCAAGGGAGAGTTGCATTTGTATGGATATGAAATTTGTATTCCTTCCTGTGCTTCAACTAATATCAAATCACCGAAAGATTTAAGACACACCAGATTTCAGTTTGTTTCTAACATTGTTCATGTTCAGTGCACTTTGTTTTATGTAATAAAGTATGCCTGTTATATGAAATAATAAGAATATGGTGATTAGTAATACAGTGTACCAAAACAAAGATGTTCCAGATATATTCTCTGACAAAGACAATCCATCTTTATTCTACTGAATCCAAACATTTTTTCCTGTGGATGTTTTCCCCTTCTAAAAAAGAAAAATGATATCCAAGAAAAATATTTAGATGCAACTTACTAGAATTATGTGAAAGAAATGGTAATTCTGGTACCAAGGTGTTTATTTTCTTTCTTTCAGTTGCGGAGAAAATATCCTGACAAAAAGAAAAAAAAATCTTTTTTTTTTTTTGATTCCTTTCTTTTACAAATTGTGCTAAGGCAACTATGGCATAGAAATAAACATTTGACATTAAACTAAGCAGTTGATGTGAGTATTGCTTGGTCTTTCTGGTCAGTGGTTAGGAAAGTAATATTCTATATTGTTGCTTAAGCTTTTGGTCTATCAAAGAAATCATTACAGAGCTGAAGTTATTTCTTCAAAAAGTACAATACTTCCACACCAGGTTTTAGTGATTAGATTTAGCTCACTTAACTTTTGAAAAAAAAAAACTATTGAATTCTGGAATTCTTTATGCCAGTGAACCTTTGGACACACACACACACACACACACACACAAAATCACCCTCCAGTCTGCTGCCCTTTACCCACCTCCTGGGCAGAAACCAGGGCTCCCAACATGAACTCAGCACCACAATTGGGACAGTGCATATGATCTTACTTAGTGTCTCATACTTTCATTTGACTGCTTCCTTCTCTCACCGGATCCTTCTAGCATAGACCTTTCAGTTCGCCCTACATGGGTATCAGCATTTCCTTAAGACTGGAAGCCCTTGAACTGAACAATTGAGAGATCTCCTAAACATTTTCTTTGTTCTGTGACTATGCACTCTATATGCATTCCATGAACATTGAGATTCTCAGTGTTCCTCTCACTGTTCTGAAGTCTTATTTTACACACAGACACACTTACACACAACATCTGGCAACTGTAACAACATACACAACATCTGGCAACTGTAACAACATATGAGTTTTCATGATAATGTTAAATGTCAACAGTGCATCCAGCAGTGAGTCAGTTTCTGGCTTAACACTGAGCTGCTGTTCCCTCTATTTCATGAATATTCCTTTTGGATATATTATACGGTAATGTTTAACCAGAAAAGCCCGCTTAATGTTAAATTCAGTTTTTCAACCAAAAAAATCCATGCATAGTAATGAGGCAATGTACCTGCTTCTTGTGCCTGCATTTTCAAGAGGCAGCATCAACAAATTCAAATGGCTGTGGGAGACTTAGACACCCAGCAGGAGAAAGAGTGTGTTTCAAGGAAAAACTGAAGAAACTTATAAAGGTGAACAACAGGAGTCCTGACAGCTCTGATATTGAGTGCTTATTCCAAAAGACATAGTACTAAGTCAGAAAAAATGTCTACTTATGAAGTAACAGTAGCAAAGAAAGGTTGCTTACTCAAAGAATAAACAGTGTGAGTGCTTTGCCTGTTTAGGAAGAGTTAAAACCCAGGCCAATTTAAGTCAGCGCCACAAATACCTCCTGACAGATGCTGCATGGAAGGAGCCACATACTAGACATGGTAGAAAGGGCTGTCTTCAAAGAGATTGAATTAGATCATATTTAAATTACTCTTCACCAATAAGATTCTAAATATCTATTCAACTACTCAATTTTTTGAAGAACAGAATTTTGATAAGCAACCTGTGCCCTGGCTGCCTGTGTTCACAGGAATACTAACAGGGGGGCTGAGCTCTGCGCCTCAGCTACAGTAGCTCTTTTATGGATTTTCCATACTAAGCATCTATATAAGATATCAATTGAGAAGTTTCCATTAGAACAGCAAAGCTTTAAGTTGACAATTATATATAATGAATTATATCACGAAGTTGACTTAAACTCCAGTCTTAAGATATTCTTGTCAAGTTACACGGGTTGAGTATCTCTTATCCAAATGCTTAGGGCCAGAAGTGTCTCAGATTTGGAAACAGTTACTTAAAATTTACCAGTGAGCATCCCCCATCTGAAAATATGAAATTCTCCAAAATCCAAACATCTCAAGTCTTATAAACACTCAAAAAGTTTCAGATTTTGTATTTTTAAGATTATGGATGCTCAACCTCTACTTTCAAAAATTTTTTATCAAATTCTGGGGATGTCTAGGTTTCCTCACAATAGTTCTAATTGATCTATAATATGTCAACTTCTTCAGGATGTGAGGCAATTTGCCATCTGACTCTTGCTTTTTGAATGTATATTGAACATAACTTACCTTCAAAAAATTTAATATCTATTAATATTATAGAAGGAAACTATAAGTCATTGTCAGCTACTAAAATCTTAGTAAGAAATAATTTATCACCATTCTGACAGGGCTGGTCAAATGCTAATAAAGATGTCCCTACTGGAGCTTGAGGAGGAGGGATGGGAGTACTAGAGGTCAGAGGAAGGACCAACTGTTCATTAATTGTTCATTAACTGTTCATTAACTGTTCATTAATTCTGTACTGGGCACCTGCTAGTGCCCAGTAGAGAACACAATACAATGAAATTTGAGAAACAATCTTAAATCTTGCAATATGCAATAGCAGTGAAAATAAATCAATGTTTTTGCCACACATGCTCACTTTTGTGTGATGTACTCCATACTGATTCTGATCCAGAATTAAACCAGAGTTGGAATTTTTCTAGCTCTGCTACTATGTGGCCTTGAGAAACTTAGGAATTGTTTTAAAGAGTAGTCATTTCATAATTTTTTTCATGGCAATTAAAGAAGACAATGTAAATGAAGTACTTGGCATCGTGCCTGGCACAAAATAAACATTCAATAACCTTTACTTATTATTGTGGTGTTCAACAGCATGCTGAGATACATGAATGCTTAATATAAATATTCTGTAGTTGAAGATTGTGTGTATGGCAGGGGCTGAGAGTATATGTGTAGTCAGGAAAACTTACTAAAAGAAATGGCATTTGGATTGACCCTTCCTAGGAAGATGACTTGGTAATGAAAAAGAAGTTGGGCAAGCTAGGGATGGGGCTAGTATGGAGGGTACTTTCAGCCTGAGAGAAAAAGTTAAGAGCAAAGGAGGAGATATGTCATTCATCTTGGCTAAAGCATGGCAATGAGGGGAGTGAGAGATGAGAATGATAAGCTAGGGTGCCATCCCCTCAGTTACATGTATCAGAAAGCCAGCCACAAGCAATCAAATATCTGACTATGCTCCAACCACAAGGATATTTACAGTTAGGTGACAAGGACATCTGGGACTACAGACTAGGTCACAGGATTAATTTGGTATATCAGTAGTATGATGAAGGACCTAGCCTCTTTGCATCCTCACAATATTCTTCTGTTGGTTTCTATTGCAAAAAAGAAAAAAGAAAAGAAAAGGAAAAAGAATGAAAGAAAGAAAAAACAGAAAACCTCTCACAGCTCCTGGAATCAGTTATTCACACAACACAGTTTGATTACTGGAAAATAACACCAAAATAACCTATAAATAAAGCAAAGGTGAATTTATTGCTTACTGCAGTAATGTAACCACTACCTTGGCAGAGGTGTAGTAAATCTAGAGAGTGGAAGGCAAAAGCAAAATATTTATAGCATTTTGTTTGGTTCTGATTGGTTGTTCTGAGCAGGCATCTAATAAGGGCTGGAGAAAGTTTATGAATGTACAGTTTAAAATCAGAAGAAATAGCACAGGGATGACTACTAAGCATATTTTGAAGAGATGACAGTAAATATCTAGTTAAGAATAATAGACTTTGTTTCTCTCTCAAATTCTTTTAAGATATTTATGACAACTGAAGCAAAAACTTACGAAATTTTGTTGTTGAATGAAATCAAAAAGACCTAGAAGTAGAGACATACTGAGATCATGGAGTTGAAAATTTAATATAGTTAGATGTCAATTCATCTCAAGTGAACCAATAGATTTAGTGCAACTCCATCCAAAATCCTAGCATGATTTTCTTATAGAAGAGCTGATTCTAAAATCTATATTGAAAATATAGAGGTGAAATACCCAAAACAGTTTTTGACAAAGTTGAACAATGTTGAAAGACTCACATTACTCAATGTTTACATTTACTCTAAATCTATATGACTCCAAAGAGTATAGTATTATTGAAAGGATAGAGACATAAATTTATAAAACAGAGTACAGTCCAAAAGTAGACTCATACAAGTGGTCAGTGGAGAAATATGCAAAAACATTTCAATGCAGATAATTTATCAGCACATTATGCTGGAACAATTAGAGATCCATTGTCAGAAATCCCTACCTTTTACCTCACCCAAAAATTAAAGCATAGAACAATATATTTGTGACCTTCACTAGGCAAACAGTTGACATTTATGACACCCAAAGCATAAGCTATAAAAGAAAGTTGGTGACAAATTGGATTCCATCACAATTCCCATGTTTTGCTTTATAAAGGGC